TTCAGGTACAAATAATGTTAACTAGACCAAAATAGATCAAGTTACGGAAAAAGAAATAGGAGGACGGGGAGAGAAAAAAGCTTATAGACAATAAAAAGAGTAATTTTGCTAAGTGGAGAATATAGTTAAATAATTACAAACCAATATTGCCAACTTTTGGATCATTATGCAATCATGCAATAAGATTTTCTTATGCTAAGCATAAACTATAATGGTAAATACTTAAAAACAAGGTGATTAAACAGAACTAATAAATTCGAGATTGGTATACAATTGAGAATACTTAAAGCAAATACACAATGACTTAAGCAAGGGAATACTCACCCATAAACCATAACAGGTTTAAGATCTTGTCCTGATTTGGCAACTGTAGGTTCAAAGCAGTCCTACATAGAAAGACATGAGAATTAAGATTGGACAAGAACCTTGAATTAGGAAAAATTTAACACATTATACAAGGATAAGTTTTAGATATTCAGCTAATGAGAACAGAGGGATATGTTTTATATATTCAACTGATGAATGAATTTCTTAGAATGTGATTTTATACAAAAACAACAAGAGTAATAAAATGACAGTTGAGGTCTAGGAAGGGTAGAATATACGTAGATATTACACCTACCTCATGGAGTTAGAATGTGATTTTATAGTATAATTAAAATTGAATTATAATAGAAACTTTAGATATCAAGAGTTGTGGAATGAAAAAAGAGGGAAGATGGAATATAAGTATTTTATACAAGAGCATTCACACCAATACAAAAATATAAAGTAAAAACTTGGTCAGTTGTGCATTCATCATAAAGACTTAGTTAAGACCATACCTCCAAATGCCACATTAGTAGTAGGAAACGTCAAAAGTGGAGGAAGCTTCAAAATCAAAATCACATCCAAAAAAGAAACATAAAAAAATATGAGATGGAAATAAAAATTGTCTATGTAATCAACTTTCGAAAGAGCCATAACGGACAAATCTAATATGCAATTGAATAGGAGGAAGTGGAAAACAAAAAAAATAAAAGAGTCCCCGCCTTCCGTTGATCTTCCTTTCAATCATGGCGGAGCAGACGGAGAAGGCGTTTTTGAAGCAGCCAGGTGTGTTTCTAAGCTCTAAGAAGACCGGGAAGGGAAAGAGGCCAGGAAAGGGAGGCAATCGATACTTCAAAAGTATCGTCTTAGGATCCAAGACTCCTCGTGAGGCTACTGAAGGTACGTATATTGACAAGAAATGCCCATTCACTGGCAATGTTTCTATCCGAGGTCGTATCCTTGTTGGTACATGCCACAGTGCTAAGATGAACAGAACCATCATCGTTCGACGCAATTACCTACATTATGTCAAGAAGTATAAAAGATATGAGAAGAGGCACTCCAATATTCCAGCTCACATATCACCATGCTTCCGTGTGAAAGAGGGAGATCATGTTACTATTGGACAGTGCAGGCCTTTATCCAAAACCGTGAGGTTCAATGTCTTGAAGGTGATTCCAGCTGGTTCTGGTGGTGGCGGGAAAAAGGCTTTCACCGGGATGTAATCTTCGTGCCTCCATTTCAAATTTTGTTTCTTGTAGGAATATTATGTCAAAACTTTTTTGCTTTTTACTGAGTTGTCATCTTCAAATTTTGGAACTTAATGCTAGTAAGTTTGTTATTAAGCCTCTGAACTAGCTTATATAATGTTATTTGATTGAAGAACCTAATACAAAAAGGATGTTTGGTGATTAAAAAAAAAAAAAGAGTAGAACAACTTAAAGGACTAATGGACCTAACCAATAACAGATTGAAGATATCATCTTGGTCCCTTACACACATTACTGAATGAAAGGAACCTAAAGAGATAGTGCAATAAGAAATTCCAATCACAAAGTAATGGCAAAAAACAGAGACAAAACAAAGGTTGAAAATAGGAAATCACTAAATGAATTGATCAATTTATCATGCCTACGTTGGTTCGATGAATTGCAATATGCATTCACTAGTTCATGAGTCATCCAGGACATCACTTCAAATACAAGATAATGGTGAAAGTCATCTCATATAAAATAAAGTACAATTTGTTTGAATTCCCTCCCAAATAATAGCATAGTAATAGTTTGAGTCTATGAGATGTGAGTAAAACTTATATCAGTGTTAGTTGACTTTGTAAAAAATCCCACATCTATTCCATCGTTAATGATATTCTTGGAGGTCATCTTTACCGTCACTATCAAGTCTCAAATTGAAAGAACATGTAATGAACATAATGAAAACTTATAAAATTGTCAAATTTCAAAGCAAAATAACTTTAAGCCATAAGCCACCAAAATTGATGTTAGAACATTACTCATTTCAAGCCAAAAGCAGTAGCAGCATGTAGTTAATACACTATATCTTTCACAACTACTATTCTAGCTTATTTCTTGACAAGGATGTGAAAATTTATTCTCTATAAAAAAAAAAGTGCTCACAGTATCATTTTTTTTGTGAAAAGTTATTCTCTATCAAAAAAAGTGCTCACAGTATCATTTTTTTTTTTCTGTTTTATTTTCTTGTGGTTGACTCGACAAATAACACATTTAATTGACTTGCTGAAGTTAGAGATTCTTTAGTTCTCATACAATTATTCGTTTGAAGATAGTTCACGGTTTTAATTTTGTCAAGATATAATTATATTAAATGAATTAATAGAATTTTTCTTACAGAATATAATGGAGCGTGTTGTGAATCCTGGACCAATTGATCGTACACTTCTTCTCTCTCAGCATGAGCATAAATCAGAATTGTTATGGAAAGGTGAGATCTCATTTAGTAGCCTTATGAGGATGGTGCGCATGAATGATGCTTGGAATTTATTTCTTTTGCATCGACCTCATGGACGTGTTGAGGAGATCTTACGTAGGTCAAGACTGTATAGAGGATGGAGCATACGAATATATAGAGTTGGTGTGCTTGGATTTATTTATGTATTGTTGGATCCCTTTAAAGATGGATTTCTTTATTTTTGTCAATTAATTTTCAATTTCTACTATCTAACTTTCTATTTGCAGACCACTTTGTCACCACTCTCGTCTCCAGATTTATTGATGTATGTTTATCATTAAAAGAAGTTAGCCTAAATCGACATCCTTGTTCTACACGCCTGCAAATAAGTCGCCATGATTTCTTTGTCGATTTAATAACAAAGTACTCCCTCGCTATCTTTAAAATGTGGAAGCTTAACTGCTCTTTGCAACTGCTTCTTTGAATTGAATAACATGCCTTTTCAATATAAATAGCACAATTCATGAAATCTTCCGGTTCACGCCACGTACGTTGTGATGAATATTCATCATGTGTATCGCCAAAGATATTTGGACCATCTGGGAGATGATCAAGATAAGGAATTTCATGATTACGAAACAGACTCATGGACATTGGTCTTGGCGACCGATTGGGCATTAAAAATCATCATCACTAGATGATGCCTCAAATGGAACATTATCTCCTGATTCCTCGGCATTAGGCAAATAATCACTATCACTAGCTGAATGTGAGCTCTAATTTGGAAGGTCACGACCATCGATATTCACATGATCAATGGGCTAATCTTGTGTGATATTTTCCCTATATATGTAAAAAAAGTATAAATATTTATCTCATGCAATTAACTTACTTAAATAAAAAATCAAGTGTTCGACATACCGATAATCATCTGCATCAAAAGTAGGCGAGACATGAAAATTTGAGGATGTCCCAACATTTTCCGTCATTTCAAAGTGTGAGGACTGACCAAAATAATTATCTAGTTCATAACTTGGAGCAATATTCCTATCTTGCTGAGGTAAACCGCTACAAAATATATAATAATAATAATA